CATACGATATCTAGAATGGAGGAATATATGATCCCTTATCTAAGGACACGCGTATCTGATATGATCAGAGTTGACAGCGGCTTTGGAAAGCTACGATTGCAGATCAGGATCTGAAGTCATACGCAGAATAGTTGTTAGACTTATCCAAGTGGGAGACTGTTGGATTAGTGTCTAAGTCCATAACTATTTTGGTATGTACTTGACCCGATGGTGCATGGTCCTTTTGGGTTGCCTTCACCAAAGCAACTTGATAGGATGATTATGGAGAGTAAGGATTAAATATGATTTATTAATGTATTATGAGAATAATATATTAAAGGAGAAATCATATTGTTTAATTAATATTAGTCAATAATTAATTGGTAATTAGTTTTGTGACTAAAAGAGATTAATTAAACTTAAGGGACTGGAATTGTAATTATAGATAATTGCAATTTGGGCCATGGATTGCCTTGTATTAAGGGATGGACGAATTCTAATGGGAATCCCATAAGGAAATCGTCCATGGGCTTAATAAAAGGAGTCTATGGGTTGCTTAGGGCTTAAGCATCCAAATTAGGGTTTCCTTGTTAGATAACCCTAATAGCCCAACTATATAAAGAACCCTTAAGGCTCAAAAACGTGGCTAAGCTTCTTGTAAGGGTTTCTACATGTTTTTGGCAGCCTCCATCCTCTCTCCTCTTCATCCTCTTGCTTATGGTGTTTGTGAGCCATTAGAGGAGTGACACTTGTGACTCTAAGCCTTCCAAAGTCAATTCAAGGAGGAATTGGGATTGTTATTGCTACATAACAATCAAGGTAACACTATAAACTTATTCTCATGTTAATATGATTATATGTATGCTAGAATTAGGGTTTATAGTCTTGGATTCAAAGCATGTACAATAGAGAAACCTAGATCCAAGCATTAGGGTTTGTATGAGCACATAGGATGTCTTATGACCAAAACCCAACAGATTTAAGGATCCATCACAAGATAATTCTTCACAGAGTCACTTCACTTCAGCAGCCACCACCACTTGTCTTCAGGCACATGTCAATCCTTTATAGTATTTTACTTTAGGATAGAAATGTAATTTTGAATTATTTTATTTTTAGATTTGAACTTTAGGGTAGAAATGTAATTTTGAACTTTAGGGTAGAAAATTAATCAATAGACATTTTCTTCATAAAGATTTTATCTTTCAAATTAACCATTGAGACATGTTAACAATTTGTTGGATAAATGCAACTCTTTTGTGAAAACGATATCTACTTTCATCATAAGCATATGCTTAATTGCTGCCATCAATAGCCCTAATCATCACATACTGAGAAGGGAATAGAAAATGACTTCCTATTAGCTCTTTTTATTTTATGCATTCAATATGTTCTTGCTATATATAAACATTAAATCTTTATTGTTTTTTTCAAGTTTTTTGCGGATATACACGTGTTGCATTCTTCATTTCAATTGTTAGTTGTACAACTAATGATGGAAGCTACTAATAAAGGAAATGGAAGAAGCCGCATGAAATAGATTTTTTGTATGAAACACATAGTAGATTAGATGAAAGCAAATTTATATATTGTAAGAAATAGAATTGTATGATATTAAATTTTATGCAATGGATTGCATTACTTGTATATGATATTAATTTCTATTATGAGACATTAAACCTAAATTTAATTTAAAAATTAATAAATATATAAAAATATTTTTTTATAACATTTAAATTTACGTACACAAAAATGTGTGTCATCTTCATTTATGGCATGCCCTTTCTTGATAGGGTTTTAATGATACACATTGCGTGTCATAAATGCGCGTCGTGTATAGACGACGCACAAAAGTATGTCGTCTCTCGTTATGACAAGTTCTTCCTTGATGCGCATTTGCATGTCGTCTGAGCGTTTTACGACACACATTGCGTGTCGTAAAAGGCTGTTTTTCTAGTAGTGTATATGCTTGTTGTCTTGGTGGCTATAGCTGGTGATATTGTATGTCTAGTTGTAGGTGTGAAATAGACACAATATTGATTGAAAAATATCGAATTAGTTAAAATACACTTAGGGGTGAAATACGCTCAATACCGGTTGAAAGATACCAAATGAGTTGAAATAGAGTCAGGGGTAAATAGACCCATTTTAGTCTCTGGCTAATATATATGTATTGTTAGGGGTTATATATATATATATATATATATATATATATATATATATATATATATATATATATATATATATAATATATATATATATATATATATATATATATATGACGGTGCAATTGAGATTCAAAAAATATTAGAGTTCTTGAGATTCAATATTAGCCATATATTTTTCCTTTGTCACTCTAACGTTCCAACGTATCAACAGCAATGACGTAGGTTTAATCATACATGATTATACATATATGTTTGCTCACAAATTGAATAATCATATATGATTATGACAGTTGGTAGCAGAAGTGGTGGCGATGACAGTGACATAAGTGGCGGAGGTGACTGTAGTGCGGTCGACTAGTGGCAGAGGTGGTGGTGGCGGTGACAGTTAAGGTGGTGGAGGAGAAAGGAACGGACAATGTTATATAATCATTTATGATTATAACTGACGAGTCGGGTCGGTACGTTGGAGGGTTAGAGCAACAAATGTGAAATATGTGGCTAAAGTTGAATCATAAGATCTCTATTTTATTTTGAATTTAAAGGAACTTCTCTCTCTCTCTCTCTCTCTCTCTCTGTGTGTGTATATATATATATATATATATATATATATATATATATATATATATATATATATATATATATATATATATATATTGGGTTAGGCTTATGTGAGACGACCTAATTTTGTGAGACCGTGAGACACAATCCTAATCACTCATTTATTAGATAAAACAAAAACATTTTTATAATGCGAAATAATTGAAAATTTTCGAAATTTTTTTTCTAATATTATTTCGGAATATATATTTTCCAAAAAAAATAACAAAATAAATAATAAATACATTTTTTACATATTTTAGTAAAATATTTAGAATATTCTACATATCTAATAAATCTAGTAGAATATTTTAAACATTCTAAAAATCATATTAAAATATGTGCAGTGTAATATTCTATTAGAATATTTCACGTATTAAAAAAAAATGATAATTTTTTTTATTTCTTTTTATTTTTTTTTAGTTAAATAAAGTTCCAAAAATTATAATGAAAAAAAGAATTTTTGGATTTTTTTCCTTTTATTTTATATTTTTAAATTATTTTTAGATTTGATCTCACGGTCTCACAAAATTAGCATGTACTTAACCTCATCAAACTACGTCATTTTGCATTAAATTTTCATTGCAATCATCTAAGGTTCTTAAATTTCATTCCTAAACTTGATTTACTTCAAAAAAATTTGAAAATTTATCATTATATTTCTCCTACATCCTTTCATTTGTAACGGTAAGATATGAAGTCTATTAGGTGATATTCGATAGAAAGACGTGATGTAAAAGAAATATATTGTTGAAAATCCAAAGATTTTGGAAGTAATCAAGTTATGAGGTTGAAGTTTAGGAACCTTAGGCAATTACAATGTAAATATGATACAAACCGATATAGTATTATGGAGTTAGGTACCTAAGCTTATATAAGGTTGTTAGGTATATTCACTTTACCCATATATATATATATATATATATATATATATATATATATATATATATATATATATATATATATATATATATATATATATATATATATATATTACTTGGTTATGTCACATCATTGTTTACAATATAAAACAACGTCATTCTTGTATGCTTTTCTCTAAAATTTGTAACGCAATGCTTCTCGTCTTGCTTAAGATTATAGTATTCATAGTTTAAGATTTAAGATTTATTTAGAATTTTTGTAGTTTACTTTTTTAAGGTTTGGTATTTATTTTATTTCTTTAAGATTTAAACGGACGCGACAATTTCAACAAATTTATTTTCTAACGAATTGTTTTCCGTTTTATTAATATTAGCAGGTCAGGTGTGTGTATATATATATATATATATATATATATATATATATATATATATATATATATATATATATATATATATATATATATATGGCTGGAAATAATTATTATAGTACCCACAGCATCTGTAATTGTTTTGTTAAAAAACAGATTATATTGTTTTGTTTGACAGCCAGGTTTTGAGCGGTTTTATGAAAATTTGTTTTCTTAATTAAAAAATAAAAAATAAATAAATAAAAAAACTTCATTTTGTGTGCGAGCTAAATGATTTAATTTAAGATAAAAGGTTTCTAAGCTATTTTAACTAACATTTTTGGTATCTTGGTTTTAAGTTTCATTGTTTTGTCATTTTACATATTTTACATATTTTAAAATGCGATTTTCTAATATGTACCGTAAGGACATATATAAAAAGTATTAATTAATCATAATTATTACCATAATTAAATGTTAAACATATTAATTATAAAAAATATTACCATAATTAAATATAAAATTCATTAATAATCTCTATAATAAATGAATTTCACATTTAATTATAATAATATTTTTGATTAATTAATACTTATTATATATATATATATATATATATATATATATATATATATATATATGCTCTTAGAGCACATATTATAAAATCCTTTTTAAAATTCCACTTATCACCATTTTGATTAGTTTCTCAACATAGCTTTAAATCTTAGTGTAATAAGATAGTTTTTCTAACTATATCAAATAAACTTATCATTTATAGTATTGGAATAAAGGTTATATATACGTTCCAAAGTCCATACCTTGAATCAATTTTGCGTACATGCAATGAAGGATACAAAATATCAACAATACAAAAAAGGAAATATCACAAAATATGGCACAACACAAACTAATAGTATGTACATAGAGTTTATTATATTTTTGCTCAAACAATTTTCTACCCTAAGGAAAGTAATATAAAAGAAAAAAACAAATCCACTCAATATTTACCCTAAAAACCTTTCGGGACTATAATTAAGAAATACAATTTAATCTATATAAACAAAATCCTAAAAAAAAAAAAAAAAAAAATCTTTATCTCATTTAATATTCCAATAAAGGATCCAAGTCTGAAAACGAAGATGTGCCCACATGATCGCTACTCACTCGAGTATGTACGTTCTTGTATATGTGTTCGTTCATGAATGGACTCGTCTGGTAACTGGTGGTATCAAAGTTGTAATTATACGAAGATACACTGATGTTTTTGTAATCTTCTTTTCGATAAATTTCATGTTGGTCATAAGACAAGTAGAACGGTTCAGTATCAAATGTCGGGTCAACATTTAACCCCGAAGGATCCGTCAGTGCAGGCAGCATTGATGGACCTTCCAAGAGGTCTTCGACAAAAGAACTGTACCCATGATCTGTATTCGCGCTCTTTTGTAATCCTGCATTCTTGTGAAATACACGACATACTACCCATTCATCCTGTGACATGTATTTATATAATTACGCGATTTAAAAATGAAGCAAACTAGAAATACTTGAAATGAAACTAAAAGAATTTTTTTTTTCAAAAAATAAATGTTAGCTTATAATATGCATATTATGTTGATTGATGATTGGTATGATAATAACCACATAAGAGTTTAGAACAAATATAATAGTTGTCAATATACTTTTTAAAGTACTATTTGGTTTCTTCAAGTTATATATATTTTTTTCTCAAGGTTATAAATGCATATTAATTAGACATATTTGACTTCTTATGCTTTTTTATTTATGTGTATATTAATATTAATTAATAATTAATTTCTTTGTAACTTTTCTTTGAAGTTTTAATTTTTTTTTATAAATTTAAAAGCAAAAAATTATGAATCGAAAGTCACGAGATCAAAAGATATGTCCTAAAATTATTCGTAGGATTAGATAACACCATACCACTTTTGGTTAAATCGTTCTTTAACCCACTAACTTTTATATAATTTTGGATAGATAAGAATATAACCATTTTTGGTGCAATCTTTTTTAAACATAAATCGTATTTAACATGCTATGATCAAATATACGAACCCCTTACTACATAAAATTTATGTAATGACCCAAAAGATAAAATGAACATAAAAATTATGTGCTTTTAGTTTAGATTCTATTTAAAAAAAAAAAAAAAATTGTATTTTTATTACAAAAAACGTTTAAAATGATCCATATTATAAACAATAATAATAAAAAAAAAGGTGACCCTTACCAAAAAAATAAATTCTTATTATAGGCAAGCAATTCTTTTATGAACAAAATTCACTTCAAATATATTTTTTACGAACAAAAATCAGTTCAAAAGTTGATGAAAGTTCGAAAAAAAAGTGCATAAAGGAGTTGTACCTGAGAAGGTGTAGGCATGTTGTAGTATGAGAATTTTCCTTCGAGTCTGAATTCGTGCATGACCCAATTCGTCTTTTCCCCTTTTGGTGCTCTTCCTCTATAGAAAACAAGCGTCTTCTTCATCCCTACCAAGTTTCCACCAGGCCTGAAAATCTCCCTATCTTTTCCGGTAGCCTTCCAGTAACCGGATTCCGTCGCACGATTAGTTCTCATCCCTGTCGGATACTTCCGATCTCTCTGACAAAAAAAGAACCATTCCTTCTGATCTCCCTCCATCTTAGCTTTCTCTGAGAAAACGTTTTTGGTAAAACGTAAGTATTCAAATCCGAAGTGATCAAAAACGTTTTTCATATTCAAAATATCAAATCTGGTTTTGAGAGTAAAAAAAAAAAAAAAGTGGTGCAGTTTGATAAAATAATTATCGAATGAGTTAACAGATCTGTTATAGCTTACTAGGTAAATCCCATGGCTCCGACTTGTTGAGATCAGCTTCTCCGATTGCACTGGCGGTGAAATTCCGGTTGAGAACTTTAGGTGTTAGATAATGAGTGACGATTTCTTCATCAGTCGGATGGAATCTGAATCCAGGAGGAAGTCCGATAACTGCATCGTCTCCTTCGTTTACGTTTTCCGCCATGTTTGATCTTTCCATGTACTGTTTACAAAAAAACTATCAGAAATCAATTGATTTATATCACTTCAGGAAATCAGCTGGTTGATGATGATGTCGATCGGAAGTGTAAAGTATATTGAATCTCGATCTTTGATGAAGATGATTCGTGCAGAAATGGAGAGAAAGAAAGGTGGGATTTGGGTTTAGAAAGAGGGAAAATGAAGGGAATGAATGAATGTTATATAGAGAAGACGCGTAGATGGAAAGATACTTCTGTAACAAGATTCTGTAGCAAATGTCAAATTAGTTTATAATTTACAAAATGTACAATATTGATTGATATGTAACTGCTATATAAATATTTTAACTGCAAAATTTATATAATAAACATAGTTTTAGTTTAGAAAATGTTATTATAGGTTTAGGGTCATCATTTAACAAATGTTGTATAAGTTTAAAATCAATTAAGAGCATCATCCATAAAGAGAAAGATTTTTTTAGTGACTTTTTTGGTTAACAAATCTATACTATAGTAAAAAAAAATTAACAAAGTTTATTTATGAGTTCTACAAATACTAATTTATAGAGTATACTAATAAAATAAAAATTAAAGTATTAAAACGTTATATTTATTTGGATTTTACATTTATAAATATTTTACAAAATCTTTGCAAATATGACTATTTTTAATTTTCATTTTGCGTAACTTATTTAACTTACATATAATTTAAAAAAAAAAAAAAAAAAAAAAAAAAAAAAAAAAAACATCGTATTATGGACGATCTAAGAGTTCCAAATATATGAAATAAAAAAATTAAATATCGGAAAATTATTCTTTTATAAGCATATCTATGATTTTATTAATATACTGCATAGAGTCTTACATATTATTTTTAAAAATAAAAAATTCAGAGTTTAATGTATTTAACCATATTTATTATTTTAAAGGTTTACAATAAAAATATTATAACAGAAAGTGATTAATGTTTCATAGTTGGAGATCGACGGTTGGCGTAGTGGAGGCAGGAGGACGGTGGACCCACAATATCCTTTTCAGATTAAAAAAGTATTTCAATATTGTATATCTATCCCTCAACCTTTTCCTAAAAAAGATGCCGCCCTCTATGTTTAAGGGTTTGCTACCTATGCCCCTTGGCTATGCATGATCTCAAAACTAGGATTGTACTGGTTGTTTATTTTATTTTTATTTTTTGAATGACAGTTTGACTGGTTAGATGTTAGTGTTAATATTTTAATTTTTATTAACATCAATGATCGAACAATGATATCTCCATCCTCGCAAATTAAGAGGTTATGCATCTACCAATTAGGCTATTCCAAATTGGCGAACCTTTCATTTGTATTTGCTTAAGATCTAAACTGAACAAATAGTACTGCACTCTTCATCTAACTATGGGTTTTCTCCTTTGTTTCTTCACGTTTGTCTTTTTTCACCCTTGTTATTTTCTTGTTCTTCTTGTGTGAACACTTGTACTTTTATTGTTTATGTCTCTCAATACCATCATCTTCATGTACCTCCCATGGTTGTTGGAGGCTTCCTTGGATCAGAAGATGGGATTCTTTTTTTAGCAAACCTACCAAACTATAAAAACACATATCTTGGTAAAAAGATAAGCTTAAAACATGATCAACATTTAAGTCATAAATTGTTACATGTAGTCAGTAGGATAAGTTTGGTTTGAAAACCACATGAATGTAAAGTTATCAAGAAGTCCAAGAACTAGGGATTCAATGATGAAATAGCGGTGGCAACTACTAGCGAGATTCTTGGAATTGCATACGAACTACCATTAGAGATAACCTGTGGAGCTTTGTAAACAATTTGGGACTCATCAGGATGGATAACCATTAGCAACTTCGATTACAAGTCATGGGCTGTTACTAAAACTTTCTAATTAGGGGACACCATTGGTAGGTACCTTATTTATACATTCATATTTCCCATCTACACTTTATGGTCATCGTTTTTTTTTTCTTTATAGCGTTTATGGGTTTAAATGATTGTTTGTATAAATGTTGATCATCATAACATTAACGAATTAAACTACTGAACTCAACTTAAAGGTAAAAATAATAAAATGAGAACATGAACTTTCAATATGTGAAATATGTATGTGAAAAATGCAAATAAAATAATTAATATAAGGTAACTACAAAATTATCATAAAAATATTATTATGTGTTCATGTTCTATTTTCACTAATTTACACTTGAACATAACCCATGCACCATCACCATAATTGATTATATCTAGCTCTCTCTCTCTCTCTCTCTCTCTCTCTCTCTCTCTCTCTCCCCCCCCCTCTCTCTCTCCCTCTCTTTCTCGCATTCATACAACCACCTATACATCGATCCTTATAAGAAATATTCCTCTTGAATCGATTCTTTCATTTATGGTAACAAATACATATATGTTACAAATACAACAACTAAACTGATAAATAGGAAAACACAACAAACTATTTACACAAGAGATAATTATGATAATTATCGGCTAATACCCCCTGTCAAGCTAATAAGTGGTGATCAAACACGAAGCTTGGTACGAAATTCTCAAAGAGGGGTCTATGTAGACTTTTGGTGAAGATATCAGCTAGTTGTAAATGAGTAGGAATGTGCTATCTTTGAAGCTTACCATGCGTCATCAGTTCACGAACAAAGTGATAATCTATGTCAATCCATTTTGCTCTTTTGTGAGAGATTGGATTCTGGATAAGGAACATAGTACTTTTGTCGTCACATAGAAGAGTGGGTACCATAGAAGGCAAAGCATGAATTTCTCATAGAAGGTGAGTGGCCCAGAAGATATCGAAAGCACTATTGGCCATCGGTCGATATTCTGATTCAGAGCTGGATCCGGAAACTGTGTGTTGCTTTTTAGTAGTCCAAGATACTAACTTACCTATAAGGAAAATGGAGAAGTAGTGTGTTTATCAACAAGTTTCAATGCAATGAGTCCAGTAAGCATCAGAGTAGCCAATCACAGATGAATAATGGGGTCTATAAAAGTACTAACCAAAGGAAAAAGTACTTTTCACATATCTAAGTATGCATTTAACTGCCTGAAAGTGTTTACCAATTGAAGTTTGAAGGAATTGCCTGAAAGGTGTTCTACTGGTGGAGCTTGCAAGGAAACATCATCATCATCATCTCATTTTGTTTGTGGACCTTTGTAAGTGGCGAAGACTCAAACTTTATTGCTTAAAGTGCTTAGATCTAAGTTGTTGTTCCATGTTTTTCATGTTTAAGCAAGTTTGAATGGAAGGAACACATAAAGTTGGCAACTTTATACTTTCTATGGGTCCCTTGAGTATGATAATGTTCTGATATAGGGGTTGGTTGAGGATTGGGTTCATGCATATGATTTTTGGTACAAATTCTTCATGTTTGACCTAGAATGGATAAAGGACATGCATGAGGCATGCATGCCATCAAGTAATCATTTTTATGGACCTTTGGAGTCCCCTTTAGCTTATGGAAAAGTTAGAGTTAAAGGATTAATGGATTAAGGACTTAAATCCCTAGATTTTGGCTTCAAACTGTAGTCACAACATGAGACATGAGGTCTCAAGATGTAAGACTAAAAGAACCTGTTTTCTAGTAAGCTTTTTGGGGCTCATGATGTGAAAGAAGGATGTTCACGTCATGAGGCCAGCTTAAAGGATTTTCCATGACTGAGTTCACTGAGTTGAGTCGAGACAAGTTGGAATTAGACAGAGTGGACTCTCACAACATGACCAAGGGTTGGTCACAACATGAGGTTTGATAGTTGGCATTGTGGGTTGTTGAATTTGACTATTGAATTTTGACATGGATTGACTTTTGGTCAAGACGGATGGTTTTAGTGTGTAGACTAAGGTTAGACCTTGTATATTGTGATAAGAGTATTGTAGTAGTGGTTGCGAGACCTTGAGTTGTGGGTTAGCTGATTCATGAGTCAGGTCGGTCTCCTCACTATACTCGTGGGTCGAAGGTACCAATGTCGGTTCACTAGAATGTATTATGTAGAATGCTAGTTATCTTTGTGACTCTTGCATTGATGTGTTGGGTTGGGCCCATTGTCATGCATGTAGGGTTGGGCTCATTTGCTTTAGTGGGTTGGGCCTAATGTATGTTGTTCTAGGCCTATTGTATGTTGGGTTAGGCCTATTTGTATGTGGGGTTGGGCCCATTGATTAAGAAGGGCTAGGCCTATTATTATGGGTTAGTCCTAATGTGCGGGCTAGGACCGATGATATGTATGGTATGTGGTATTTTCGGGAACTCACTAAGCTTACTGCTTACGGTTTTATGGTTATAGTTTCCGATACTTTTGGTTCCAAAGGGGAAGGACTGACGTGACTGCACAACATCCCCCAAAGTTTATTCCGCATCGACTATTTGTAATTTTTACTCTGATGTTTAAATACTATATTTCACCTTGAATAGTTTTGGGAACATATTGTTGTATGGGTTAATGTTTTAAAAATAAAAAAATTATTATGAATTTTTTGGACGTAAAAACTATGGCCATTTATGGTGAGGATGATGTCATCGACATACACCAACAAATAAAGTAGTCTAGCTCTTTTGTTAAAACCAAAGAGAGAAGTGACGGCGCGACTGCAAGAAAAACCAAGTGTGGAAAGAAAAGCATTGAGGTGTTAAAACCAGGCACGTGGTGCCTGTTTAAGGCCATATATGGCTTTATTTAGACGACATGCGTGCAAAGAGAACTGCTCATCAATAAAACCTCGAGGTTGCTCCATGAAAACCATGCTAATGAGCCACCCATTTAAAAGGCATTTTTCACATCCAACTGATGTAATGGCCAACTTTGCATGACTACCAAGGATAGAACAATATGAACTATAGATCCTTTGAAAATGGGACTAAAGGTATGCGAGTAGTCAAGGCTAAGTACTTGAGTGAATAAATGTGAAACTTGGCAAGCTTTGTACCTTTTAGTGGACTCGTCGTAGCAAAACTTGGTGTGAAATATCCATTTGGAGCCGAAGACATTGAAAGTAAATGGTCGAGGAACTAACTCCCATGTGTTTTTTGCTCGTAGAGCAACCATTTCATCATTCATAGCCATTTTCCAATGGGGATATTTTGAGGCAAATTAAAACCCCTTTGGCATAGTGGTCGCTAGAAGAGCTTGATGAAGACCAGTAGAGCTAAGAGATGCAAAATCAAGGTTTGATGATACCGAGAGGTGGCGGTGATATTGGTTGTGGACGATGACGTAACACTTCAATGTCGATATGGTGACTTTGTAGC